GTAGCTCATTTTAAAATGTCTGGCCCTGGAAATGGGTTGTAAGGGCCACTTTGGTCCTCAAGAGCGAGACATAAAGACAAGACAGATTTCTAGAAAAAGTAAAAAAAATATGGATATGTAAATCCTGGGCTCGCAAATAACCTTTCCCACAAGCAGCAGCTTTGCTTTGCTGCACAGCAAGTACTGACTAGTCTTGCACTATTCTCCCAAATAGATTCTTATCATTAAATATATTTTTAACAGGTGAAAAAGGTTAAGAAAACCAAAGACCGTTTGTTGAAGAAGGTAGGTGGCGATTTGATCAAAAAGCCATTTCGGATGTTAATTAATTATACCTTAAACATAGACATAGCAATTTTGTCTGAGAGGTATGTGGTTTTTGCAAATGCAGACAAATGTCCTTTTTTTTTAAATAAGCACCCCTATTTCAGTCACGCCCCCGTTGTGAAAGACACATCGTGGAGCCTTATATTGTCACGGAATGGACTTGTTAGACTGTGAGTGAATTATGTAGTCTGCTTCCTCGTCTGAAGTCAATATGAACACATTGAACACCCGAATGGTGTTGTGACTACGTAAACCCTCATTGTTACAGTTGTTTTTGAGTCAAAATGCTATGTCACACTATCATGTTTATGCCAAAGAAAGAAGTGTCTAGTGACCAGTAGGACCCCCTCTCAAGTAAACATCCGCTTCCAAGCATTATATCGAATCAATAATATTTCAACCACTTTTGACCAGCCAGAAATGAGATTAATTTGGCTAAGCTAGAATTTGTGACATGCTACTGACCTTGTATAGCTTTAAGCCCTGGTCTACCACATGTCCTTCTAGTCGTTATAAATGCGTCATGGTGAAATACATAATTCAGTGACCTACTTTTATTTAGATTGAGAGTGAAAATAGAGAGTCAAAGAAGAAAGAAGGAAATGTCCAGGTAATAGAAGTATTCTGTACAATACTTTGTTCGAGTTAAGATTAGATAGGCTTACACTCGATTTGAATGTGCTGTATTGATCACCCTAGCTTAATTCTGGCCAAGCCTTAGGGGTAATGAAATCACGAGGTATATACACTGTTTATGCAACGCTTTCGAGTGGTATACCATGGAATATCCCAC